CTTCCTAAAGGAAGATCACATGCCTTTAATGCAATGCTATTAACATGCACAAGATGGAAGCTTCTGACACAACAAAAGCATTACTCAGAGCTAAAAAAATAAGAAAGCTCTTCAGGTTCGAATGCTTCTTAGGAGATAGGGAAAAAAAGATACTCAAGTCTCTTACTATACTACACTAACATTATGATCCCCTGTTCATTGCAGGAGAGATGAACTAAGTGACCTTTAAGGGTTACTTCCAACTCAAACAACTCTGATTCTGTGAAATGGTATCTTAATTGAATACCTGCTCACTGCACAGTCCCACCTGAAAATACCCACTATTTAGATAAATTGTGAGGTACAAAAACATGAGCAGCGGAATTAGTTAGTATTACAAAAATGCAATAGAAACGACAAGAGCAGAACAACAACATCCTGGACCATAGCAACTACACTTTCACTCAAATACAACAGCCTGAGACACAAAAATACAAGGAAAGAAACTGCTCACCCTCCAAAGACCTTAGATATACAGGAACCTCCAACAAAATGCCCTCCCCTCCCCCTGCCAGCCCTTAAATGAGGTCTGTAAGGGGTGGATCCTGGCTCCACCCCTTCTGGTCACTGAGTGGCATTGCGTGCACCTGAGCTCCCCTGGATTGGCCCTGCCTTCCTGACAGGTCCTCTGTCACTGCTTCAGGCCATAACTTAGTATTTCCAATATGCATTACTGCACCTACACAAACAGACACAAAGTTTAAATAAAATGATATGACTAAAAACTTGCATTTTACAGTACAATTTCATTGTTGTTTCAAAAATAATCTAGTGGATGATGGTAACTAGGCCTGCTAGCTGTGCAATAGCAAGCAATCCAATAAATAAAGTACGGCAAATTATCCATGGCTAGAGACAACAGCAGTCACAAACAGCCATCTTAAAATCACTTTACAAATTGCCTTCTTCGTTAGAAGACAAACCGACTACACTGCTGTCAGCGTAAGCTTGTTTCCCCTGCTGCAAATTAATCACAACACTGCACAAAGCTGTGGTGTGGCTCTGGGCAGCCTGATCTGGTGGTTGCTGACCCTGCACACAGCAGGGTGTTGAAACTAGATGATCATGGTGATCTTTTTCAACCCAGGCCATTCTACAGTTCCATGATTCTATGACTCTTCTTTCTGGAGTAACCACCGTGGTGATCACAGTTGAGACCAAAAATAATGATAAAAAAAAAAGTTGTAAGGATGATTTTGTCTGCTTATCCTGCGGCAGAAGCGATGACCCGAGCAGCACGCTTAGACACGACACTCCCTTCGCCCCCCGGCTGCGTGGCGCAGCGCCTGTCCCTGGTGCTGAAGGAAAGCGCGACGTCGTGCGCGTGGGGCCGGGGCGTTCCGTGACAGACCCCCACCGGGTGAGGACAACGGGCTCCCCGCCGCCACGGCGTCCCTTCCCACGGAAAGTTCCGTGTCCTTCCGAACGCTCCCCACCCCCCGGCCGCCGTCTCATCCCTGAGGGCACCCGGGTGGGTGCCGCGTAACTGCTGCCCCGGCGCCCGGCCGTGCGTCTCTTTGCTGCTCTACCACCAAAGCCGAGGGGCCGATCTCAGTTCAAAAACTGAGATTTAACACCGTCGGTGCTCAGAAAGGAACGCTGGTCGGACACTCCTCAGCGGCTGCCCCCCTCGATGCCCACGTCCCCCATCCCCCAGCCACGCGCTGCGGCGGCCGCTTTAAGGCCCCACCTGGGCGGCAGCGCTCCTTCCCCTCAGGGGCGGTGCGGGGCTGCCCTCGGGCTGCCTCCTGGTGCGGCGGGAGCTTCCGCGGGCCGCTGAGCGCCCGTGCGTGTGGCGGCTCCGCAGCACCGCGGCTGGCACAGGTGGGTCGCGCCGCGCGGCTGCGGGACGCTGGCGCCCTAAGAGGAGCACGAGCGGCTCTGCTACAGCCCCGTTTGTGCGGGGAGCTGCTGTAGGGGGAAGCGTTTCCCACTGGAGGCTGTGTGGGGATGCAGACACGGGTGGGTGAGCCTAACTCTGGGGGTGAGAACGGATGAAGGTTAAACCTCGCAGCACTGTGCGCTTTTGCAGGCGTATCGTGCCTCAGCTGTGCGGTGCGGCCACTCGCGAGGTGTCTGTGCAGGCAGAAGTAGCGGTACGGGAGCTGTCGTCAAAGCCTTGCGGAGCGCTCGCTGTGCCGTGCCAAGCCCCGGGCTCTCTGGAGGCCAGCCAGCGCCGTGCAAGTCCTGTGACATCAGTGTCAGCTCTGTCCCTGCCCTCTAGAGCTGACAGCGATCTGCACGTAGCCCCTTCACCCTTTTTTTCCCCTCTGTATCTGCTTTTTTTTTTTTTTTAGTGGCTTATTTTTTTTTTTTTCTCCCGTCGCTTGGAATCCCCTGCAGCAAGGCACAAACGAGAGCAGTCGCAGGGTGGCTGTGAGCATTCCTGGTTTCAGCCCAGAGTCAGAGGAGAGTGACACGCACACAACAGCAAAGCATTTTGCAGCCTTCTTTCTGGTCCAAATACTTCTCTTAGTAAATGAGCTCTGCATTTTAATCCTGTTGCTGTTGACTCGTTTCACGGTCTGAAGCTGGTAACCTAAGCACTGTGGGTCCAGCCTTAGAAAGGAGGTGATCGTGTTTTGCTGAAACAACAGGTATTTTGGTGTTCTTTCTCTTTAAAAGAAGTCAGAAACAAACAAGAAAATCTTGTTATCTTGGTGAAGTGGGTGCCACAGAGGTGTTAAGTACCGCAGGTTATAGTGGATGCCCTTGAAAACCATAACTGAGATGGCGTGAAGGTGGAAAGTTTGTAACATACCCTTAAGTCGTTTTGTAAATGGGGTCTCTGCAAATACCACAGAGAGGTGTGACTGCTTCTCTCCTTCCTCTTTCTCTCTTCCCACAGGAGTGGTTTGCAGTTTAACACAGTTACTAAAACTATTAGAGTCTTCTGAAGGTGAAGGTTGGCTATGCTATGATATATATCCAGTCTTTTGGGATAGAAAAAGGAGGCTATTGCAGGAAAAAAAAGTCACTTAACATCCAAAAATAGTGTAAAAACTGATTTTTCTGTAGTGATGACAGCATTTGCAGTGAACAACCTGGTAGTGAGAAAGTGGGGAACCTGGTGAGTCCGTAAGGTGATATATGCTGCAGCATGCAGCCAAACAAAGTGGTTTGAACTGCATTTCTGATGGCGTTATATTACAGAGAAGGGGAATAATACTCCATCATCGTATTTCTCTAGTGCACCTCCCCAGGATTACTACTTTATAGCATATGCTCACTCAGTGCATGTACTGTTGGGACCTACAAACACCATTATGGGAAAGATAGCAACAAAGCAGAATTTGGTGAAGCTTCATGATTTTCTTTCTCTTGTACTATTAGTCAATATATAGTGCATATTTCTGTGTCTGATGGGTTGAGGTGAAGATCAGAACCCAAATATAGCAACTGCTTCCTCATTATTCACTATATAGTCAGCACTATTAATCCAAAAATACTGGGTAACGCTAGGACTGCATATATCAGACTCATTTCAACACTTATTGTCAAGCAACGCAGGCTGTTGCAAATCAGACGTCAGATAAACATTCTAACAATCTGCTACTGAAATGTTACAAATGGATGATATAAATGATTTAACCTTGTTGCTGCAGTAGTAGTAATTGAAGGCTCTCTCAGGGGCACTCTAGACAGCAGCTAAAATACATAATGAGTAATGTGGCCGGCCTAACGAAGTGGTAGCAATGTGAACAGTTGGAATTTCCATGACTTGTTTCCTTCCATCTTAATTTAGCATCGGCACTAGAGGTTTTTATTTCATTCACTTGATGTCTGTGCACTTCCAAGCATGCAGGTGTAGCTTTCAGAAAGCCTGTTCACTGCAATGCAACGTGGTCTCCTAGCATATGTGAATTGTTTCCGCCAGTGTACGATCTCTGACGTAGCTGTGGAAGGATGGCTGTGCCTGGGCTCTGAGGTATTTGTGGAAGGCTGGGGCACTCTTTTATGTGCATGGAACTTGTTGGCATGGGGACCTGTGGTGCCTGGTACCCATCCAGCTTCCTCGCAGCTGTTCCTATCAGTCATATGGGGACAGCTCTGAGGGGACTTGGTGAGCTCTGAGCAAATCTTTGTTTTGGTATCTGGAGAGAAAAATGTCACCTCGTCTCTGGAATGTTTTTTCTTTAAGTGTCACTCCTCACACTGGCGCCCTGATTTGACTCTACGTAGCTTCTATCTGAAGGGAGGGATGTGTGCTCGTGTCATAGATTTTTCATCTAGACGGAGAACGTAGGGAAGAAGGCACCCCAAGAGAAACAGAACTCAGTTGAGTAAATGAAAAGTGATTTTGGAACAGTCTGAGAACATCTAACGCAAATAAACCTAATCCAAACACCACAAGGTTCTAAAAACAAGAGGATAGTTAGTCTACTATGTATATGCAGCTTATTTCATCTGCAGGTTTCCCAGAAGGTTTTGTGGAGGCTTGTGCTGATAGCTGTGATGGCGGTGGACTGCTGCTCCAGTCCATTTCCCTGTGTTTGCTCTGGATATTTGACTTAGTGAGTGTATTTGTCTGTATCACCTCTGAAAACAGGGCAGGACTGAAATAATAATCTAGGCAGGCCACCAGCTTTCTGATCTAGAGGCTGCCCATGGAAGGAGTCAGTAGAAGACAGGAGCAGTGCTAAGAGCATTCCCAGCAAATTGAGTTGTGTCTGCAGCATGAGCTTCTTTACTGCTTGCAGCTGTCCAGAATAAGGCACAGGTAGGCAAAGGGGAAACAAACGCAGGAGACTGAGGACTTAGGCTTATGAAGAAAATAATGGAATCTTTTTGCCTCTGTGTATTGTAACTGTTGAGTCATGACCTGAATCACTGACTGAGCACCTGGGGAAAGGACCCGGTCAGCCCTGGGAGCACAGGTGAGGGCAATTCAGCTGTGTGACCAGAAGGGGTGGAGCCTGGCTACACCTCTCTTCAACCTCATTTAAGGGCTGACTGGCACTGGGGCTGGTTCTCTGGTTGGAGATCCCTCCCTTGTGGAATTTCTCTTGTGAGCCTAGCTCTTTGGATATGGGTGAGCACTTTTCTTTTTCTTTGTAATGCTTTTCCATTGTGCTAGTCCCTTTGTCATTATACTGCCTTTATCACCACTGCACTGCTCTGATCTTTCTGATACACTCTCTAAGAGACATCCAATAGCATGGGCATATGAAAGGACTTCAGCCCCGTTTTGTAAAAGGGCAAAGTGGGCCAGGACACTGGTGTATCTCCTACTTTTTCTTCATATAAGTGCCAAGCTGTACTGAATGTTTGTCTGGATGCAGGCAGAAACCAAGTAAGTAGAAAACAAGTCACCCCAGTTTAACATGTCATTCAAATGACAGTACCCCTAATGAGATTATCACTTCAGTTTCATAGCTTGCTACCCAGCCTGAAGGACCTCAGAGACCCTTTTAGATGTCCTAAACTGATAAGTGGGTGGCATGTTATGCATGTGGAAGTAGGATAGAAGTACATAGTGTTTGATTAAGCAGCAATTCTATTTCTTAATGCTTAGTTGTTCAGCTTGCTGTCTGTGCAGTTTAATTCTGCTATAGCTTGTGCATTTTTTCTCTGATGAATGTTTAAGTATAGGAAAGAATTGATTGTCATAAAAATGTATCCTCTCTTCTTTGTTGTCTTTTTTTTTTTTTAATATTTCTTGCTAGTGAAGCAATGACTTGCCATGTTTGGTTTACTCTCATTTTTGTTGCGCTCTCCTGAACCTTTGTAATAGAGTCAAGAAAAGATAGTAGAAATATGTGGTGAATTCTTGGGAAACGGTAAGGAATAACGCAATGGGAACTTCTTTCATGCGTTTGTGAACTTTTAAAATTAAAAATTAGAAAAAAGTCCTGCACATGACTTAAGAGGCCTCATAGATTTGTTGTCAAGTTCTGTGGTTCGGCGTACAGAAAGTATATCTTTTTTCTCCCTTCAAAATCACCATTTAAGTGTCACTGGTTATGGCTTCATACGGAGATAAACAATGAAGGTTGATAATGTAGATTTAAAAAAAGCTACAAATACATGCATAGATAGGTATATGTATGACAGCTACCTGTTTTCTTTCAATCTGTCTTCCTATTTTCTTTCATTTTGATTTGGGCCAGTTCCATTGGCTGAGTACAACTTCACTTAAACCCACTGAAACTGCCATATTGTTATAGTATGAATTTAGGATTTGAAGATGTGGTTATATTGTTTGGCCTTCCATCTGTGTGGAGGATATATTTCCTTGTACAGTCGTCTTTTCTACCAGCATTCATACAAAACAAGCACTTACTGCTTTGTGGCTTTGCCAAAATTACTGATCTACTTCACAGGTGGAGAGGCCATGACAGTATGTGTTCTCTGTAGTTCAACCATCAGTTTTTTGTGACATTAAAATGGGTGCACAGGCAGACTTACTATCAGTGTTCAAATGAGCTGGTGCACTCTGTGGTTTTGGTTGTCTTTTTAATTATAGAGCAGAGCCTTTGCTTATTTTTCAACTTAATATAATGGGAATTTCTTTGTAATATGAGGGTAAAAGCAGGGATGCTGTGGAAGTGTACTAGAGAACTTCTGGAGGTCCTGCACAAATTAATGACTTAAAGTGGTGTTAAATTTTATAGCTTTATCTAAGAGCAGAAGCTTTTCATTTACCTTAGTTATGCCAACAGTTTGGAAGTTCCCCTTTCTTCAGATTTCCAGTTATTTTCAATCCAAAGCTGAAATGTATCTGTTATTCCAAACGAGTTACGAAGGTTTTCTGAAACTCCTAGCATGAAGAGAATATAAGCTATGAAAAGTTATTCAATGAGTTTAGGAAACAGCTAACTAATTATATTCTTAGCCTTCCACTTGATTTCCATGCTTTTAGACAAGTTGTATTGAAAACAGTATGACAGCTATGAGATGAAACTATGCTTTTGCCACGTGGATTATATACTGCTTAGAAATAATTCAGAATACTGGCATTGTAAGAGGAAAAAAATGTATTTGCCCCTTTAGAAAGCTTAAGTTATGGTACCATGAGCCAATAATGAAATTAAGGACTTTGCTTTTGGTTCTGAATGTGTGTAGTATTTAATTTGCATTTAACAGATTTATGTAAAATAAATGTAAGCACTCCTTTATGCCTTCCCTGCTACATATAGTAGGTACTTGTTTGTAATATGTGATGTATTGCTGTGCAGTATGTTCTAAACCAGAAGTTAATTGGCAAAGTAGTTGTTTAATAAATCAGTAGTGAGTTTTAGATGTTTGGGATTTTAGCATGGGACTTGATTTTACTTGAAAATGTGTTTCACCCGTGGACTAATTGAATGTGAAGAGGGGCTTGAGAAGCCCAGAAAGATCTGTCCCCCTCCCTGGGGGCTATATTAGACCTCTGAGTCATGAAGTCTTTGCATAGTAGGTGTCTGGTTACAAACCTTTTATGGGCCCTACTCAGCTGAGATATCAGCATCTGCATTATAGCTCCCAACTATTCTTAGGTGATATCCCAGCACGACTGAACAGGCAAGGCAGAAAGACTGGCTTAGTTATACAAAACTCTTCCCTGTTCTCATACTACTTTTTCACGCTTTCTCTGTCTACCCCATCCTTCTATCCTGCAGTGCCTTGCTGGCTTGTGAGAAAGGTACAGAATGGCTTACAGCGTGACTCTGAATGGACCTGGACCATGGGGCTTCCGACTGCAAGGGGGCAAGGACTTCAACATGCCTTTGACCATCTCCAGAGTAAGTGAACAAAAGGCTTCATTGAGCTTGTCTAGGTTGGAAAATAACAGTTAACTGACTGTATAACTTGGCCAAATATAGTAGAGGATCTTTGCAGGTAGGTCTGATGAAAGGATCTGAGAATGCAATGTGGAATTCAGATATATCAGTTCAAGGCAAAGCCTGCTGTCTCAAAGGCACATCTTGCTTGCATATTTTTAAAAATGATGAGGAACTCTCTTTCAAATGAAATTCCAGTTCTGCTTTGTGCAGTGTTTCTTTTTCTGCTGGCAGGGGCCTCACTGATGCAGATTATTTGGGAAAAGAATTAGAAGAACTGTGAATGTGAACGAGCAATGGCATTTCAGGGAAGAAACTATGTAACAGCTAGTAAATACGTGAAACCTAGGTTCTCTCAAATTAAGTAGATATGTTCCTCTTTTGAAGCAGTTGGAAAACTGGATGAAAATTAGGCATGTCAAACAGAAGATTCAATAATGCTTAAATGAGGACTTAAATTATGCAGGAGCCTTCCATTTGTAGCTGATGAACAGTGTGTGATTTAATAATTAATTACCCAGTGTATCTGTTGATTATAGATGAGTGCATTTATTTCTCAGTAATCTTTCCCCCCTCTAAGAATGATATTTCAAGGCATTGCAGTGGACTGTTCTTATCTGATAATGTCATTTCCACAGAAGTTCTTAGGGTTGAGTGACTATCAAAAAATTCCCAGGCATTTATCTTCCTCTTTTCTTACTGTATTCTGTGTGACTTCTGATTTGGTAACTCTGCTTCATGCTACTTCTTACAGCTCCCTCCTCCTTTTTTAACAGCCTCAAATCCTTTCTAGAATGTTCGGCTCTGTAGAGGTGTCTCTACAGATCATCTGCAGAAGGTTTACTGCTGTGCAAAGCAATGAATAGAAGTAACTATAGAAGTTACTTAAGTGTTTAAAGAAATACCAGGATGGTTTAAGAAGATGAGTAGAATGCAAACAAATAGTCTGCTCTACTGGAGTGGGGAGGGATGGAAACCACCTCCGCTACTTGGAAAATAGTTCTTTATAATGGAGAGAAAATCTGTTGAATTGTAGATAGCAAATTGATAACTGCAACAATCATGATTCAGAGTCAACAGTGAGCTTCTTAAATCTTAACTATCCTATTTCTTATTCAAACTGCAGTGCTCTTATTTCATCTCTTATTCTAATGCACAATTTTTTCTCCATAGAAACATATTTACCTTAATGCAAAGTTGTACAATGATCAGAAGAGCTTTTCATTTTGCAGAAGCAGTCTTTGTTCCATAATAATAGCAAAGAAAGCTGTCTTGTTACAATAACAACAAAAAGCAACAGCGAACCCTGCCCAGATAAATAAAATCTCTTCATTAACTTGAACTAATTTCACTAATGCTTTTACTGTCTGTTGAATATTTTGGGTATTGACTTATTGCACCCAAATTAAGTATGTAGAGTTGCCAACATAATTCTGTAGGCATTTTCATGACATTTTGCAGCCTGCCCTGTGAGATATTTATGAAGCAGTTCATTTGTGCCAGGAGTCCTCCACTGAGGGACCAGGGCTGCGGCACTTGCATGTTATGTGACAGCTAGAAATGAAAAGCTCTTGTTTCCAGGAGAACCTATTGTCACACACTGCGATCTTGTAAGGCATACTCAGTGTGCCCAAAGGCTGCATGATTATCCTGGGGTTTTCAGAACTTGTGATGGTTGTAAGTGGAATTGCAATGGCTGGATTCCCAGAGGTGAGGAGGTATTACCTCTTTACACAGCTGGCTGTGTTTTTTTTAGCAATAGAAGCATCAGAAAGCACTGTTCAGTTTACTGAAGTCTTCCCCAGTGAGGCTCAGTTTTCGAGCTGAGAGCTTTGTAGGCTGCCTTGGGGGGAAAAAGCAGGCATGCAGAAATGAATATAGTTTCTTGTAGGGAGGGCTAGAGTAGGAGCTATTTTTAATTGGAACGCAGTATAATACATGGCTTTTGCCAAAGAAAAAAATAGATATTGCAGGGACGTTATCATCTTTCACATGAGTATGTATTCAAACAGATCAGATATTTCCATTATCAGCAATTTACAGTTGTGCAAGGTAAGCTTTGAACTCAACCACATTTGCAATCTTACTGTGGGGAAAGAGGAAAATATACTGATTTCCAGGGTGCTCTTGACAAGAGAGGAGGCAAAAACAAGTAGCAAGAAGTCATACTCATTTAACAGTTAACTTAAAAAATAGTCTGGGAGGACTTCAAAAAGAGTACCGTCCCCACTCTACAAGACATTCTACCCTTTAGAATAAATTCTGTCATGGTATATAAGGGACAGGTATTGGAGGCAGGAGAATAATCCTGACAGGCATAGTGAAGCCGAGCATCTATCTCTGAAGTGAATGGGAGCTGTAGAGTGTTGGCACTGCAAGAGCTGTCACAGGTGGCCTGATCGTATGTGCAAATCCAAAATTAACATGGGCAGCAAAGCAGTTTATTTTTCATACTGCTTGCATGAACTGTCTGGGAGCAAGCAGAATTAATTGATTTTAAAGATGTAATCCTGTGCAAGTATAGTTTAAGTAATGTGTTGTGCTATTACCTAAGATTGGGTGATTGTACATGGATGGATGCAGCAGCAAAGTCTCTTCATGTATATGATTGCTAAGCAACAAATATTACTGGGGAGGCAGACTGGCTTGCAGGTGTTTAAATGAGTGAAAGGTATGCAGAAATATTGCCTCAAACAGTAATAGCTTGTGACTGGCATTGCCTAGGCTTCAAATCAAAAGTCAGAGCCTGAAGCTGAAGGAGATGGAGTTAAACAAAACTTAAGAACTGTGTGGGTTTACTCTATTAAGTGAAGAAGTAGTTGATGTCTGATCACTGTGTAAGTGAAATAAGGAGAAACAGGAAATATTAATAGGGGAAAAAAATATTAGCTGGTCGGTATATTTATTTTGATACGAGTAGCCTGAAAATTTGGGAGGAAAATGAAACAAAACTATTGTAGCACTTTGCATTTCACCTTCCTATGCTCTCTGGCATATATACGTCAATCTCCCACTGTGGCTGCTTTTCCTGTACAGATTCTTGTGATTATTTATTCTGTACTCTAATTTGTTTAATTGCACGTGGGGTATCAGTGCCTCGAAACAGGCAAGTGATGGCAAAAGGACACCCTCTTGGCTTTTCTCCTATACCTGAAGGCAGGAAACCTCAGGTTATCCAGGACAATCTGGATTATGTATTCTCTTAATGCCTCTTGGATGTGGTGACCATACATCGTGATTATAAGAGTGGACTGTACCTTCACTCAGTTAAATGAAGGCATTGAACAAGATCACTTGAAATGCTGGGTCCACATCATGTGTTACAAGTGCGTATCTGGTAAATCTAATCACTGAGTAGTTGTGGTTCTAATCACACCTTAGTTACAATAACTGCGATGTGAGGAGCGTTGTCTTATCTCCAAATGTCAAGTCTTTCACAACCTTAAAAGGCATAGATCAGCATTTAAATAGTTGATATTTTACATAGTTAATAGGTAGGTCTTACTCTAAAAGCCGTCCTTTTTATATGCTGATGGTTAGAGATTTCTCCCTTTATTTTTTCCCCTCCAAAACTCAAATGACTTTGAATCAATATCTGAGAGAAGGAGTGAGCCGTTGGACTTGCATGTAATGACTGTCTTATGGCTAGATAAGCTGTGGTAACATCTTGTCACAGAATTGCTGGGGTTGGAAGGGACTTCAAGAGCTTGAGTCCCAACCCCCTGCTAAAGCAGGTTCCCAACAGCAGGTCACACAAGTAGGCATTCACATGGGTCTTGAATGTCTCCATAGACTCCACAACCTTTCTGGGCAACTTGTTCCAGTCTGTTATCCTCACCATAAAGAAGTTCTTACGCATGTTTGCATGGAATTTCCTATATTCAAGTTTTAGGCCATTGCTCCTTGTTCTATCTATTATATACCACTGAGAAGAGCCTGGCCTTACCCATTTGCCTTCTACCTCATAAGGGAGATGCTTTGGGTCCTTTGTCATCTTTGTGGCCATCTGCTGGACTCCTTCTAGGAGATCCCTGTCTTTTTTTGAACTGGGGACCCCAGAACCAGATGCATTCCAAGTGTGACCTCACTGGAGCACAGTAGAGGAGGAAGATTACTTTCCTTGACTTGCTGGCTATGCTCTTTTTAGCACATCTCAGGATACCACTGTCCTTCTTGGCCACGAGGGCACACCGCTGGCTAACAGCCAATCTGTTGTCCACCAACATATGCATAAGTGGTTTTACATTCTTTCAGTCTTCTATAGCTTAGCTTCAAAAAGGCCTTTGTGACAGAGAAGACCTGTCAAAGCAGCTTTTAAGAACATTCCAGAGCTTTCCTACCTTTTAGTAATATGCTATCTATCCTGTGGACATCAGTATTTCTTCAGGAGGATCTTAAGTTTGTAGATTGCTTCTTGAATGATAGTAGTCTTACCCAAAATCACAGGATACTGAAGTTAAATATGTGAAGTCATTTGTTCTATGTACTTGTGTTGATACAATGAGAAAATGCTGATTACTTTAGATGGTATCTTTGATTTCCAGCTTATTTGCCATCCAATTCTGATATGACACAGATGTCTAAATTGATTGCATTTCTGTGGACTACATTTCTACAAGTAACTCCTGAAACCCCTAGTTTGGTATCGCAGTAGTCAGCACTGACGTTGAGTGACAATACAGTACTGAGGGCATTTCACAGAAACACAGAATGGCCAGGGTTGGAAGGGACCTCGTGATCATGAATCTCCAACCCTCCTGCCACATGCAGGGCCACCAATGTCCTCATTTAATGTTAGACCAGGCTGCCCAGGGCCCCATCCAACCTGGCCTTGAACACCTCCAGGGATGGGGCATCCATAGCCTCTTTGTGCAGCCTGTTCCAACACCTCACCACTCTAATGGTAAAGAAGTTCCCCCTGATGTCCAACCTAAATCTCCCCTCCCTCAACTTAAAACCAT